CTGGATCTGCAATGGGTGGGACGCATCAGGTCAGATGATGAGCTGATGGTTCAGCGCGGGTCCCCATAAGCGGCCACCCGCGTGAACATGCCACAGCCCAGCGGTTCCATCGGCCGGCCGGCACGCCGCGCAAACACACACAACCCATCAATGACCCATCAATCCAAGTGACAACAAGCAGAGTTTAGTATGGAGTATCCGTACTTTGTACACATCTGAGCCTCTCAGGGGGGCGTTAGGTTAGGTGTCAATGACCAAGGCACGTGCCGGGTTGCAGCTGTCCTCTTAACACGACATCCCTGCGATTAAGAGTCTCGACTTTCCAGGTTGTCGACAACTCATCTACGGTCAGACTCATACAGACGGTGAGGGAAAGAAAAGGAACACCAAGACCGGGGAAGGAGACAACAATAGCACCACGGTGTCACGGCCAACGGTCCGGTCCGAAGAAAAATGTTCGGAGACAGACGGACGGATTACCAGGGATGATGATGTCACTCTTGTTCAATCACCTTTGCATCTCATCCTAAAGTAGTGTACTCTGTATGATCTCTCCGGCGCGTTGGCGGCCTCCTTCTCATCCGACAAGTGTTCCCGCCCGCGCCCGCAGCTCCCGGCTCCGCAGACATAGTTCAACACTTTAATTAAGAGACGGGCGCCGGTTTCGAGTATGTGCCGCCGCTCCTACGCTGGATTACCAATTTACTCCTCCGTACACTACCACAGCCCTCATAGTGGCACCCAAAACTCCGCAGTGATGCGTAGATGCAGTGCCGAGCACTATTTGGTAAGCCGATCGATTATCGATGTTTTACACCCTTACGACTTACGACATGCGAGACTCGTCTCATGGGTAATGGACTCATGGAGGCGCACGTTGATCGACATGTCACCCCGCAATTCCCCTCACTGCTCAGCGAACCCATCATTACCATCTTTACCATCTTTAACTACCTTAGGTTACCTTAGGTAAGCTAGTGTTCCTGAACCCCTGAATGACTGCCTGAACTGTTGCGCGATGCCCCATGATGCGCCACCACCAAAACTCCACGAACCTCACTCACTCATGTCCACAATGTTCAACATGAGGAGAAAAGAAGCGACGAGGATAGGCAGATGTCAAAGAATAACCTCCACATTCTTTACATCCGTTCGCTGTTTTCTGTCTAGCATCGTCAGGCTGAATACTTAGTCGCGACTTAAACCCTGTGATTGAGCGCGACTAGTGGCCGTTGGCGGGCCAAGAGCCAATAGTGAGGCTGGTTTCATCCTTCACGAGGGAGAGCTGAGAAAGGAGGCTCACAACTGAGGGGAAAATGCGAGACACTCGATCGGATGACTCAAGCTAGGCTTCAAGAGCTGAAATAATGGATGAAAGGATAAAAGGCTTGTATTCAGACGACTTCTCACACTAGATGAAATTGATCTCATCAATCTGAATAGAACTTCACTTTCTTTACTCGTCTGATCAATCACCATGTCTCGCTTGCCTCCTGCCGAGAAACTTCCTCTCGCCGTGCGGAAGAACAGTATGTACTGGTGTCTCAAGTCAAATATTCAGTCACTGACCACCTCCGAGTCCGCGATGATTGGGAGAACAAGAGAGAAGACTTCCAGAATAAGCTCTCTGACGTCCTGGGCACAGAGTGGACGCTCAAGGACATCAGCCCTATCGCGCTTTACCCTTACGCCGAAGAGGGTTACGCCAAAGAGCGCCTAGGAAGCTGCATCGAAAAGTAAGATCCAGACACGAAAGCGTATCCAAGCTCTCTAATCTAACAATCAAAACCAGCTACGTCGATTCAGCAATCTATAACCTCAAGTACTTCATTGAAAGATACGGCGAAGACGGCAAATCCGAGCTCAACTCCATCTGCCACGCCCACTCCCTCATTATCGACCTCGATGACCGCCCGGAGGGCGAGCGCGTCTCCTACTGCGGCGTCATCGTCAAGGAGGGCGGCGTGCTGGCGATCGTCTTTTCCGAAAGAAATCTAGGCGTCAACATCGGCTCCGCCCTCGAGACGCAGGGTCTCCTGAGCGCCTTGAATGCCGCGCCTCCCGCACCGGGGTCCGCCGCGCCCATGAATTTTGCGGCGCGCACTTCCGTGAGGCGGGACTATGATCTGCAGATCGAGGAGACGAGAAAGTCGTTTGCGGATATGCTCGAGAGGCCTGACATTGTGTTGTGTCCCAATTTCGAGGCGAACTTTGAAAAGATCAAGGCTGCGGCGGAGAAGAAGGGGAGCGAGGTGAGGAATGATTGGGAGGTGAACATTGGTGCTTTTACGAGGATGTACTTTGAAGGGCTGAGGTCTCAGATGAGGTATCAAAAGTTTGATGATGATGATATGTTGAGGGAAGGTTTCAATGAGGCTGCTGAGAAGGGGGAGATTCACTTCCGGATCGTGGATAAGATGGCGTATGCGACGTACGGGGAGGTTGTGTTGGATGATGGGCTTATTTGTCTTCAGGTATGTCCCGTCGACTTCACGGTTTTAACCTTGCTAACCGGTTTCACCAGACCCAGGCGCATAACTTTGGAACGAATGTCGATTACGCAGCAGAGAAGCTCTTGGACCAGCTCTAGGTGGGTGTTCGTATGTGCTCAAGTTGAGCCAACGAGGCCAGGAATATTTGTAAAGTTCAGACTCCATTTCAGGCAGTCAGCACTTGTTACCACCTATCATGTCAAACGCAGCCAACTCGAGCTCCACGACGGTGAGACCAATGTTGCCGGTTTAGATGGTAGAGCCGCCAACAGACGGGTTCTCCAACAAGTTGACGCCGATCATCGAGGCAACTAAATAGACAATAGAACAACCTTCGTCCCTACTTCTTCTACGACTTCTATCACTGCCTCTATCACTGCCTCTATCAATACCTCTATCACTCGCTTTATTGCTCTCTCTATTCCTCCCTCTATCCCTCCCCTTATTACTTCCTCTACTTCTATTGTTGTTCTCTACTTCTCAAAGTATATTCTTGATTACTATACCTGAAGGATTGAGCACTTGAGATAATGACAAGGATAGTAGTAAAGATACAAGGGAGAAAGGTATTAATGATATATTAATCATCGGACTGTTGTGTCACTCACTTAGCTACCTATCTACCGGGCTCTACGGCACCACCGTCTGCCATCGACAAGCGAGCTACACATGGACGTCTCGAGCAAGGCACCCATCACGCCACCAACGAGCACACCTCCCGCATCGCCAACAGTAACAAGCCCAAGACAAACCTCTCGAGGAACCGTATCCCTCCCTTCTCCAACCAGCCTTGCCAAAACATTCACATACACAGATCCAGCCGCTAAACCGATCAAGAAGACCAAGAAAAAGGACAGTTGCGTTGAGACGAGGAACACGGCGTTGAAGAACGCAACCGCCGTCCAGGCGCACAGAGCCGTCAGATGAAGCCTGAAGTTTCGCGTCGGAAGAAGCTTAAGCGATGACCGTCCCATCCAGACACCTAGATGGAGCGTCATGCCGTATGTTGCGTAAAAGTGGGCGAACGTATCAAATGCTGATCCATCGAGCGGCCTGGCGAGGCCATATTGTAAGAGGGAGATGGCTGCGGATGCTGTGAAGAGAGGCAACATCTCCGAGCGCATGAGATTGCGGAGCAACTCAAACCTGCTTCGCTCGTGGTTCGGACCATTGGCCTCGTCGTGCCGCAAGAAGGATTGTCCTTCCTCGGCACTGGCGTCCTCTCGTTGCTTCCCTCGCGCGTCATTCTTCGTACCCCTTTTCGAGAACCGTTGAGGCAATACAACAAAGTGAGCCACCAGAAGCAGAGCTACACCGTAGTAGATATACGTGGTAGCGCTTCGCAAAAGCTTCCCGGCACCGTACGTCGAAAGAAACGGCCACACGGCGTTCTCCAGCACCCCCGCGCCGGTGCCGAAGCCCCACCCCGCTAGTCCCGGAAGCCCGGCCTGCCCGATCATCCCAAGGCAGGAAACCTCCGTTACCGCCGCCGCGATAGATGCAATCACGGTTGTCGCAATGCGTATTGGCGGAGGCACGTTGGGCGGCGTGTCATCTGCGATTCGCTTGAGAATGACCCATACTGCCGCAATGAGAAGCGGTCGGGTTCGGTATGGCATGTGGTGAATGATGAACGGGAGCGTTAGCTTAGTGAGGAGCACCGGCGCGACTTCGATGAGGATGACAATGTGGCGGGGGTACGGGATGATGAGATAGTTTGAGGCATGAATGAGGGACGGTAGGATTGTATTGGCTAAGCCTGTGGTTCGTATGAGTTTATGCCGAATTGTGGTTGCAGTATAGTGCTTTCTGCCCGTCATCAGTTAAAGGGTAAACTCACCTATCAGGGCAAAAGCCAAAAAAGTCCGAAATTCGTCAAAAGACCACGCGGTCCGGGCCGTGGTCTTACTTTTCGACGCCATCGCGAAAGCGAGGTCTCGGGGTGTCTGTAAGGTTCACGACATCCTGCAACCGCGAACTGAGACATGGGGGTTTCCCTCTCAAGAAGTATAAAGAAGAAAGGCTGCGCGCAGCCTTATTCGAGATCAATTAAGGGAACACAATCGTCACGGATTATGTTGAGGAATCAATGATAGACCTGCTCGACATCCACGTGTTAGGTGAGAGCCCAATGCGCATGGGTAGTGGGTGAGTTGTCCAGAACCCGGTCCGGACGAATCGAATCCACCACGTGGGATGAACCCGGCAATTGATAGGGAACTAGGGCCCCGCGTCGGACCCGTCGATCCATATGGCCGTAACGGCAGCACGCAGCTATGCCGGCCGATTGTCATCTTATCGGCGTCGTCAGCTCTGATTTCTCAATGCGATGCTTGGCAGACTCGTTAAGTCGGGTATTCGTCTGATAAGCAGAATGTGCCGCAGGCGGGAAGGCCATTCTATCATCCATCAGTGTCTACCTCTGCGAACATGATGATGCCTGGAATGGCGTCAGCTACGTTTCCATGGCGTCGGTGGTCGAAATCAAAGATTGAGACGCAAAGCAGCATGTGGGATGGCGAAGCTCAACACCGCCGCCGGAGCCCGGTTACCAGGTCAGGTCAATGTTGTGCCGATATTGTGAAGTTCATCCTACCTGTCATCATCTTCATGGGCATCTTTGGCTTTGTCTTGATGAACTTTGTAAGTCCACCGTTCTCTTTCGCTCTTAAGGTACTACTAACACGATCTTCATAGTTCCCTGCAGAGTTTAGACACTTCATCCATGGCAGTGACGCAGAAAGAAGAATCACGGGAACAGACCTTGAAAAACTTATGAGGTCAACTCCTGTTGACACAGGGGGCTCACGCCGACTGCGACTATTCATGCCCGCCGACGGACCAAACATCAACCTCTGCAAGACAGTCATGTCGGCCGTGGCGCTAGGCTACCCCATGCCCACGCTTTTGAACTGGAACGGAGAGTTCAACAGGCCTGACTGGCACTTTGCCGGTTCCCACATTGCCAAACTGGAGTCACTGTTGGCGGTCATCGATGCGCTTTACGAGAAGAATGACGGGGACAATGTGAATGAGAACGATCTCGTTCTCCTCGTAGATGCCTACGATATCTGGTTCCAGCTTCCGCCATCCGTCTTAATTGAGCGCTTCCACCAGCTAAATCGCAAAGCCAACATTCGGGTGCACAGACAATGGAAGGAAAGTGGCCTGAAGAGCGGGTTCCCCATTAGCCCCCCGACGCAGAACATCATCGTCACCGCGGCCAAAGATTGCCAGCCGGACTGGGAGTCAGGGTCCGATCCGCGATACGACTACTGGCCAGACTCACCCCTGCCACGAGACTTCTACGGCGACAAGACTGACCAGGTTCTACCTTATGTCTTTGACTCGGCGAGGAAATACAAAAGGATTCGCCCCCGCTGCGTCAACAGCGGGATGATCATGGGCACTATCGGATCTTTACGGGACGCGCTGCGCAAGAGCAAGGAAAAGATTGAAAAAGCCGCGGGTAGCGGGCGGCAGCTCTGGAGCGACCAGGCTCTTATCGCAGAGGTTATTGGGGATCAGGAAGTTTATCGCCACTGGGTTCGTGGCCTCTCTTCAACGTGGAATGGTTTCGTTTCTGAAGAGCATCTCGGGAGCATGCCGAAAGAGGTGCGGAGAATTGCAGACGCGGCGCTGGCTGGCGAAAAGTTTGAGTTTGGGATCGGGCTGGATTATGAGTTTGCCACGATTCCGCCTACCTGCTCCTCCGAAGACGACGGGTACTTTGTGGAGCTTGACGACGCCGAGGCCATCAAGAAGGAGTCTGAAAAGGCTGGAGTTCCGGGCGAGGTGAGGGTACAGAGCATTCCGGAGGAACTGCGAGACGTCCCTCGGCCTCTGCCGGGGCACAGCTGGGGCAACGTCTCGCTCTATACAGACTTCTTCTTTGGTACCGCGTCCGCGGGCATACATCACAACGCCTACATCTTTGGGCTGAAGAAGTGGCGGCTGGAGAATTGGTGGAGTCTAACGTGGTTTTATCCTCACTTGCGGGATCTCGTGGTCCAGGCTCTTGATGCGAATCGAAAGTTGATGCCCTTAGCGAGACTTCTCACTCGTGGCGACAGCGGGAACGAGGTGGTCTACTGGGCGGCGGAGGAAGAGCTTAATGGGAAGAAGAGCGTTAGGGTGTATGACGGTTCGAAAAAGCCGGGGAACTTTTCATTTATTGGTTGGGATGAAATATGCCAAAATGGAGATGAACAGTGGTATAATGTACTGTTTGGAGATGGAAAGGGGCAGCTGGAGGTGTGAGATATGTACTTGTCAGAGACGCGCGATGAATACAGATTTGGCGATAGGCCTCTCTTTCCCACGGCCTGTCTTTGGGTCAACGGTTCATAGGCCCACGCTTTCCCCCAGTTATTTTAACATCTCATTGTCGACTTCGCGGTAAACCTTTCGACAAGTAGCTCCTTGATTATGTGGAAAACCCGGAGTTCATCATCATGTCAGTCCATCATAGCAAACGCATGCTCCTTTTCAACTGACTGTATGCTGGAACATAAGCCCATATGACCGCAGTCAATATCATCCTATCCGACGCCTAGGAATGTCCTATCGTATTGGAATGCCTTACATTGGACTGAGCGAACTTAGATCGCATCGATGGTGAGGGTCTCCGCGAGAAGACCTCGGCAGCTTCCCCTATTGAGCCTTGGCAGGCACGGCGGCCTATACTCTATATATCTATACAAGGTCGTATCTCTATGGTTTAACTAATCTAGACAAGCTGTAGGATGGCCATGAACTGCCACTACAAACCGCCGGAGTATCCGCCTGCAGAGTCATCACAAGGGACGACAGTATCGTGCTTATCCCAATTAATTCGATCAAGGTAGGTCAAGAGTACTTCAGAGTCGCAATGATTTACTCGCTCACTGCGTGTGTTCTCGAGCGGGAACGAAGTCCAGAGGCATTGAACTTTTTCATCGTGCCAAGCTGGAAGGTCCCGAATATGCTCCAGCCCATTGACGGTGATCTCCAACGCATGAGGCTGTGTCCATGGACATAGGAGGTCGACTTAGAGCCTCGTTTTCGCATCACAAGGCGTATAGACAATGCTCGGGACAACCGGTAATGAGTGCCAATCCATCTCCAATACACAATGACGGAGACAGCCTGTGATCATCCAATGAGGACCGTATGCGACGTAGAGCGATCGATGGAATAACGAAGAGAGAGAACCGGGGAGATGATCCAGTCTCGGGGACGCTGTATACCTGAATTGGGCATGGTATCGTATTTGAAGCTGTCTCATTGGCTAGTCCGTGGGTTCTTGGCTATGAACAAGCCCCGTAATGCGACTATACGTGTGGGGATACACGGATCCGAAGATCTTAGGGAGAGGCGGCGCAATAGCCCTGTACCTGGATGCTTGCTTGGTGGCAATGCTGCAGCCCATGGTAGATCATATAGTCGTGATGAGGCTCGATATGGTTGTTGATTTGTATAAGTTGACTACATCTCTCTTCAGATGAGATGCCTCTCTTCTCAACAGTCAAGGACAACGTTCATTCACTCAAGCTTCCTCCTCGCCCTGTTTCTCCTAATTACAATCCACTCTCTTTTCTACTCACAAACTCGAAAGCCTGAGCATCGCTAGTCTCAGGATGAAGCAAGTCAACTTCTTCACCGCGGCCATGGTAGCCTGTATGGCCAAGCTCGTCGTACGCCCCCCCCCCCCCTCTCTAACCCTCTACAACTTCAAGTCTTCTCACCTACTGGAATATCTAGGCCTCGGCGGACATCGTCGCAGACTCCCAAAATGTGACGGCCCCAGACTTCATCGGAAAAGCAGCCACGTCCCAACCCCTCCGCCCCAAGGAACGCTTCTCCCCAGACGCCCTCCATGCCCACATTGACGGCGGCAACACCCGAAGCGACGACTACATGGGCCCCCTCGGCATCTCCTCCGTCGCCTCCTCGGCCGCCGTGCAGACGGGCTACATGTTCTGGGAGAACAGCACGAGCCTTCTCGTCGCACTGGAGTGCGCCTCCTCCCAGGCGCCCATCGGATTCTGCCTCGCGGCGCTGGACCCGGAGACCATGGACGTTCTCGTCCAATGGACCGCGCCGGCGGGACGTACTGCCGTCTCGAATTACTGGCAAGTCGTCGACAACCACGTCGTTATGCCCACCCTCGAGGGCTTCATCATGGAGATCCAGCGCCTCGGCACCGGCACCTCCACGACTTTCACCCAGATCCGCGAGGTCGACGTCTCGTCCCGTCTCCCTTCGGGCTCCATCATTGCCATGGCCGGGTACACGGACGACGAGAACCTCTGGTTCGTCGCCACGCCGGCGCCCCTCGTCGGCCTTGAGGGAAGCAACACCACCACCATAGGCTACGTCCAGCCCGACGGCACCATCTTCAGCACCGCCCTGGACAACCAAATCGTCGAGAACGGCATGGCCGTCAATGGGAAAAACATCTACGTCCTCACGGGCCCCGCCGGCCCCGAAGACCACGCCGACGCCCGGGGCCACTTTTATGCTTTCCAAGCGGATACGGCCAACGGTGGCGGCGTGGTAGCGGCCTGGAACGAGACGTACCTCGCCGGCAGCGGTATCAAGCCAGGCGGCCTCTCCCGCGGCTCCGGCGCGACACCAAGCCTCCTCGGACAAAAGTACGTCGCCATGACGGACAACGCCGACTCCCAAATCAACCTCAACGTCTATCGCCAGGCGTCCGCCATGGCCGAAGGCCAAACCTCGAGCTTCGTCTGCTCCGTCCCGCTCTTCACGCCCGGCGCGAGCCTCAACGAGGCCTCGCTGACGTCGCACTTTGACGGGACGACGTACAGCGCCATGATCCCCAACTGCTACAACTCGCCTTCCTTCCTAGACGTCAGCGAGGATGACGTCAACGGCAGCTACAATAACCTCACGCAGGTGACTCCCGGCGTGGCGCGCGTGCGGGTCAATGCCGACGAGAGCTGCGAGCTGGTATGGGATTTGCCTATCGTGGCGACCATGATCACGCTGTCGACGAGTAACGGTATCTTGTACGCGTACACGCAGGACCGGGAGCTCGCTGTGGGCGGGGAGTATGTGTGGTACATTGCGGCGTTTGATTATGCTTCTGGACAGGAGATTTGGCGCAAGAGGGTTGGTGCTGGTGGTGTGTTTAACCCCGGTCCGTCGCATCTGCAGCTCGGTGCGAATGGAAGGATTTATGAGGGTATTGTTGGTGGTGTTGCGTGGGTTGAGGATTCTCCTTCTCCTTAGATGGGGGTTTTCTCATTGCCGATGTTTCTGGTGAGAGAAGCTGCTTGGCATCGTCAGTAGGTGAACGGCGGTAATATCGGGATGGGGCAGAGCTATATGAATGGATAGAAGTTTGCTAGATTCCACGCATATTAGACTTAGATCACTTACTGTCCCATTAATCTAATTCCTTCACCACTATTTTCTGCTTCTGAGAACGATTAGAAATTTCTAAAGGGACGTCGTGAGGTTATACTTACATGAGTCTAGCCAAGATTGGCATCAGCCTCGTGATAATCCTGTGTGAGTATAGGTCTAAGTAGAGCGTTCAACCATCCTCGCGTTATGCAAAAAGCAGAAATGATACCACTTCCTCCCATCATCCTAAACATACACTCGCTTTAAAGGACAAGAACCCTATGCTAACCTCTCAACTCTCAACCCACTCAAACTCCTCAACAGCCAACGTCATCTTCGGCCACCACTCCCTCGGCAAGAACCTCATCACCCCATCAAACTCCCTCTCCGCCGCACCCTGCGCCCACCACAAATGCGTCGCCCTTCTCAACAGCATGAAGAAGTACCCGACGATAGCCAACGTCCTCGGGTCCTGCGCCTCCAACAACTCGACGAACCGCGGCGGGACGTGCGCAGGGAACCGCAGCAGATCACGCTGCAGAGCCGAACCCTGGATCTTATCGAGACGGCCGACAGCAATACGATACGCTTCCAACGTCTCCGGCTCTGTCTTTTCTTCATCGAGGTCTTCTAGCAGGAAGTCAAACGCCCCCGGCTTTGCTGGCCTCGTCGTCTCGTTTTGCTGTGATGAGGTCTGCCGCTCTGGTTTATAGAGGTGGCTTATCCTACTATTCCGGATCCCGGGCAAAGCGACCTTTAATAGCGCGTTGACGTTCCGAAAGGGCGTGAACCAGTGATGCGGGACCCGCGACCCCGCCCCCGTCCCCTCTCCCGCATCCGATCCGCTACCGCTACTATCGAGAAACGACTGGTTCGCGCTGGTGTGGAACATGATGATAGTACACGTCGCCATCACGACGGGAGCATTCTGCGCGTTGATCCCCTCGCGCACAATTTGTCTCGAATGCGCCTCGATAGCCCTCGCCATGTAAGCATGCGAGGCCTCCGACACTGCTGCTGCATAAGTACTACTGCTGCTGCTGTCATGCACCGTCGCCGCGGACCGTCGGAGGTGAAACGCCGCAAACCCGAGAACAGCGTCCATAAGAGTATGATCTGTCACGGCGAGGTCTGTAATCCAGCTCGACCAACTTTGCTGGTCAGTCGAGGGGTACGAGGCCGTCATGGCCAGGTAGTGCCGGAAGAAGCGCGACTTCATGCCGTCGGTCATGGTGTCTACTAATACTGGAGGACTACTCGGCCGTATGAGAGTCAGGGATGTTAATGATAACGCTGTGGACGAGGACGACGATGCAGACGATGTTAATGATGATGATGATGATGACGACGATGATAATATGAAGGATGGCGCCGGCGGACAAGAAGTGGGTTTCAGGCTGAAGCGGGATTGTAAATCGATGAAATCACACCGCAGGTTCGCCTTTGTGCAACCTCCACAGGCGGGCCGGACCTCATCGCACTTTTTTGTATGGTCAGTACTTGTACTTGCGTATAAGGTAGGTAGACATGTAAGAAGGTATGCAGTAAGGTATCAAGTGAGAAACCCGTACGACCCCCTGCACCCGGGACGGGGTAGGTCGTAGGTCGGGACACGGTGATCGTAAGGTCGGGCCGCCTCGTTCAGAGCTCACCTTGATTCGCCGCGTCTTGCAGCGCCTGCAGCCGAGTCTCGACTTGTGATGGGCTCGTCTGATTCTCTCCGTCATTACAACCGGGTAAGATGTGTAGTGGATCTTACTTCGGGTGTTTGCAGCAAGTATCGGGCCTAGAATCCTTCTGGAAGTTACAAGATACACCAAACGCAAGGGCAAGCAAGCAAGAAGAAAGAACGTGGCCACTGAAATGTGCCAGTGAGGGAGGAGAGTCTGTGGGAAGATGGGAGAGCAGAAGGGGGGTCGTCGCTCAGATGCCGGAACGCTGCGTCGATGCTTTGACCCGGTTCCGGCCAATGAGAGGCGCCGGAATACGGTCTTGGATAGATCTTGGGTCTAGTAGCGACATCCCATCTCAATCAAACTCTATCCCTACCGCCGATCTACACCTACGTACCTGACTTTACGTATAGGTAAATGACTTTCATGTCAGGCTTTGCTGTGGTTTGGTGATCATAAGTAAGCCAGACATGTCCGTTATTCGCCTTGGGCTTGCTCTCTCACTTGTTGCTCATTTTTACCTACTGCAGTGCGTGTACCAGAAGCTGTGAGATCATCCAACATACCTATGAAGAAACTCATCAGCTTTTTGCCGTACGCAAGTGGCTGTCTCACTGAACATATCTGATATATCACATCTTACGAGGCTCAGGTTCCTTCATATCGTTCCCATTAAAGTAGGCCGTGTGTCGTCCTGTTCTCGATATATGCCTATAGGAAGTCGCCTGCACATCAAAACGTAAAGAAAAGTGAAGGGGTGGTTCCGCGAATCAGCCACCAATCCGTTGTGTGTGTATATCGTCCAATGACGGAGCCAGTCCGCGGACATCAACCCGAGGTATCTTGTTTTCCTGCCATTTCTCCCGTCATCCAATTCTTCGTCCCCAAGCTCACATTCTTCTCATAGAGCCATATGCTGTCAGACACAATGCGATCCGACAAAGAATCTGATCGCTTTGCTTCACGACCGCCTCGCATGTTGGCAAACAGACCTTTAAGAGTCTCTTTGCGCAGACAGTTGAGTCCCGAAGGAGCGTGAGATCCACCAAGAATATTCGTTGCTGCTGTAAGGAGACTCGTGTCTGCATCATGCTTTTCCTTGTGGGGTGCCGTGACCTTCACACATGGTGCCGCATTACGACGAGGCTATCGCCGCAATGCTGGACCACTCCACAGTCCTTTGCTCGTCTCCACGACCTTGTTCTGCTCACTGCCTGGCCGCAAACTTGCTGGGACACTGCTGGGTGCCGGGCCTGCATCGGACATGACCACATCATTCTGGCTGCTATCGGCTTCGGGTTGCGTTCCATAGCCTGAGTCCTTGTGGGCCCCGTTGCCGAGGCTGATGGCGCTATCGTCCTTCCTTGCGTTTTGCTGGGTCTTGAGTGCGGCAGCGCCACGTCCGGGCTCTTTCGACTTGGCCCCGTCCATCAGATTGCTCTGGCCCTCGCGAAGCTTGTTGATGGCACGAACTGTATCAATTGCAGCATGCAGCGTCCTACGAGCATTGAAGTTCTTCTTGACAGTGGGCAGCAAGTTCTGGCCTTCGCCCTCGCCGTTGTTGAGGTAGCCGGCAACGAAGGGGTGTTGCAGGGCTTCATGCGCTGTCATGCGCTTGTTCGGGTCAATAGTGAGGCAGCGACGGATGAAATCCTTGGCGTGATCGGAAACACCCCGCCAGTAGTCGAAGGGGGTGAAGCTGTAGTCGGCGTTCAAGATAGCTTGCATCTCCTCGAAATCGCTATCGCGGTCGAATGGCGTGTAACCGCACAGAAGGAAGTAGGTGATGACACCGAGCGCCCATACATCTACAGGCTTGCCGTGACCAATCTTCTTGAAGATCTCGGGGGCCATGTAGCCAGGGGTACCGCATGTCGTGGTCAGCACGTGGAACTGCTCCTCATCCATAATGCGGCTCAGTCCGAAATCGGCAATCAGGAGATCTGCATTGTCTTCTGGTGTACGGAACAGGAGGTTCTCGGGCTTCAGATCGCGGTGGACGATGCCATGGTCGTGCAGATAAGCAACGGCGGAGAGCGTCGCCCGAATAAGATCTGCGGCATCGGATTCGTAGTATGAGCCTTTGCGGCAGATGCGGTCGAAGAGCTCGCCGCCGAGAGCCAGGTCGGTCACGAGGTAGAGGTTGTTCATCGTCTCAAAGTAGTCGACAAGTGTAAGGATGTTCTGGTGGCCCATGGAGACCTTCTTCAGGACTGCGATTTCATTGCGGACCTGTGAGAGGGGTTGTGTCAGTTTCTTGGTCAAGGATGCAGAGGAAGGCAGTCGAAGGCGTACCATGTGCTCTCGGCCGGCCATCAATCGCTTGTTGATGACTTTTGCGGCATAGTAGCGACCGGTGTCAATGTGGACGCACTCCTTGACGACGGAGTAGGAACCGGCACCAAGCGTCTTGCCGACCTTGTACCTGCAGGGCTGGACCTGAGGTGACGGAGATGCTCCGTTGGCGCCGTTGGAAGCCATTGCTGCGGCCAACAGACAATGTGATGAGGGTGCTGAGGGGGGGAAAGAATCGAGGCCACGAGCGTCGCCCAACGATCGAAGAGGGTCAGGCGATAGCTCGGGAGATAAAGGTCGGTCGGTCGGGGTTGCGGTCGCGAGATCAAAGATGTTGGCGGGGTAAGCAGATGGCGAAGATCGGTCAGCGGTTTTTTGGGGGCGGTTAGCCTCACTCGACGAAGCTAGCACCAATATTACGGGCTGGTTCGACAATGGTAGGGCGGATGAGACAATCAGCAAAATTGTCTTGATAAAGAATTTGTCTCCGTATCCAAGTCGCAGGAAGAGAGAATTCGAGGCTCGAGGTGGAAGTCTCAGAACAATCTGGCCAAGATTGCTCAAAGGAGCGAGCAGCTGACAAAGTGGGCACGGCAGGTGTTTGGCTGGATTATTGGGCTGATTTGATGATCGACGGTCCCTGGTCGTGTTGACTGCCCCTTGGGAGGGTCTCGCGGGGCCAGTGTGAATTGGATGCAAGTATCAAATCGGCACACAGCAGATAGATGAAGGGGGTAATGTGCTGTCACTATGACGCTATGACGCAGATCAAAGTTGACGGGCGTCGAGCACGCGATGTTTGGTGGAAAGAAGAGATGGTGTTGGGTGAATTCGGAAACCAAAAAACGACGATGGGAGGAAGTGGGAGTGAAGAGAAAGAGAAGGATTCGAGGTTGCGGAGATACATAGACTGGATGGGAATGGAAGAGACGAACAAGTGGACCACACGCCGCTACACCAAAGATAGTGGACATGTATAGGCATTAGGGGCACTTTAGCATCTAAGCACCATATGCGCCAGGTCGTTCAGCTCGAGACATCAGGGACCCTCATTCTCTCTTGAGCTTGGAGGGTCCCGCAACTTGGAGACAGCTCACTGACAATATTCCCAGCACAGGAGCTCCGGCTCTTGTTCTGACCACTGATCGTCTGAGGATCGCTCTCGCTTTGTCGAGGAACCCTCCCTTGGGCCCCTTCATACGTGTATTTCTTTCCACGACAATTTACTATGTATTGTTAATAATGAAGCGACCCATTCAGGATGGGGGTGCTGGATGGATGCTGACGGCCTGACGAGGCGGCCCGGGCCCAGCCATGAGAACTGGGGTCCCCACCCCAGCTGACAACTGCTCGGTGGGTGCGTTCTAGCTTCTATTTGGTACATACTCAAAACGGCCCCCAACCAGTCCGTCAGCTGCTCGTCTTCATATCAGATTTCCTCTCGATAGGTAATACCAGCCTTATTCAAGTCCTAAGACAAGGTCATGGGAAAGCTCTGGTCTGAGGCTGACCTGCAAACGGTTCAGATGTCTGGCCGGAGCAGCCACCACCACTCTTTGATCTGCTTCTGAGCGAGTCTTGCATCTAATATATACATCTCCGTATGAAAAACGTACACATATTCATACATCTACCCATGTCTAACACAGACGACGCAGGTTTCTCTGCCGTCTTGAATAGTAAGCAATCCGTCCTTGGCACATGCTATTGAAATGCCGTTTTCTGAGTCAAAGTTCAGGGTCCAGGCCTGAACCCCTCTTGTTTGCCAGCCGGCCGTTCTTTGGTGCTTGGCCAGCTCTGGACCCTACCCCACACCAATATCTTCTCTCCTCCGTAGTTCGACCGGCTGGCGGCCTGGTGTTTGCATGTCTCGGTTCCGCCAACTTTGTTAGCTGGGCAGAAAAAGCAGCTGGGCGGGCTTGGTGCCACGACTCAGCAACACCCGCCAGGTCAGAATCCATCATCACCTTTTCTTGCCGGGCCGAAAATCAGGTGTCGGCACTTTGGACGTTTCCCAACCTGCTCAGTCAAAAGAACGTCGATTCTGCTTTTTTGTGCTCATTTGTTTTTTCTGCCTCAGTCGTCCCTCGTTGAATTGTTTTGCTCTACACTCTTTGTTAGCCCCTAGGTGCATGGGTGTATGAAAAGACAACTCACATCTCAGCATGTTTCTTCTTCTTGTCAGAACTTGTTTCGCCAGGGACTGTCTCTTGGTATATCCTCTGGATCTCGTCGACGAGCTTTTGCTGGTTTTCCTCCGAGTTGGCATCTCTCTGGCGGTGCGTTTGAGCTTGGAATGTCAGAGAATCAGATCTAGCTGTGTAGTATTTTGATGCCCTGATGCCTTGGTGTAGCAATTTAGGCAAGACTGGTAAGATGTCCTTGATAGGCCAAACCGTGACCGCTTTGCTCTCCGTTCTATCATGACATTAGCAAAAATGCAAGCCAGAGGTTAGAGATACCGGAATATCCAGTATATGCGAGGAGCCTACTTGTTGACATGCTGACCACCCGGGCCACTGGATCGGGCATAAGTCGTTTGCCCCTTGGGGAGTTGGCTACCGTTGAAGGACTTGTGCCATGATCTTGCCATTTCCAACTCTTCAGGATCAAAATCCGCCTCGAATGCTTGGAAGCGAGCCCAGCGGACAAGCTCCAGGGGTCGAATGAAAGGGCTTCCCAATATGGGACGGACAGATTGATATAGACTTGTCGCAAACTTCATTGTGGCGGTTGGGTTGATCAAAGGAAGACGTCAAATTGATGGAGACTGAAGTTCAGACAAAAAGCCATCTGACTGGCGACAAGATGAGAAAATAGATTGAATTCCGGGTTGCAAGGTAGGTAATTCTTTGCAGAACTGACCAGTCTGTACCAGACAGTAGTCATCATCATTAATTGATAGACCAAGTTGGTGGATCTGGACTTTTCCTGAGTATTGATGTACCGTGTTTGAGAGATGCTAAACTGTGAGATAGACACGGTATCCGTATTTGGCTAAGCGCAATGGAGCTGCCAGATGAAGCTAGCGTCGGGCTGTGGGCTTCCAACCGTTTTTCCCACGGTGACATTGGTCAGGCCTCATTCCGTCCAGCGGGATCGGCCAGCCTTGCGGAGAACTGAGCTCTGGCAGCGGGTGGGATGGCACCTTGCCTACCTGAGGTTGTTTCCTTCCACCTGCAGTCCTTCACACAGCGATTTTTTCGACTTTTCCTCCCACGCGGCCCTCCAGGCTCCACCACGTCGTTCGTACCTGAGCTTTTTAACCTTTTTTCCCTTTCCACCGCACATACTTTCACGCGACACCGCCGCAGCAGCCACCAACCACATCTCGGTGCTCATGGCCTCAAGGTTCAACGTTCCTCCTGCATCCTCTCTCACCTCACCTTTCTCCTACTGCTGAATCGACACCCTTCCGACCTCTCCAGCCCAGCAGAGGAAAATAAACTCCCGTCTCAGAGATTTCTGACTCCTCCGAGTTGCCTCTTCCATCTGCTGTCACAACGCACTCACTCACCCATTCATACCTTACTCGGTACTCATTCTGCCGCCCAACCCCATCGGAGATTCCCCCGTGCCTGCAGCCTCTTTGCTTTTGCGCCTGCTTCCTTCCTTCCATTCCCACCCCGCCTTCCTGCCACTCTGGGTATCTGCTCTTACCCTCTCATTTGGACCCCCAAACAAACCAACCAACCCAGCCGTGCTTGCCTTGCCTCGCGCTTGCCTTGGCCCCTAAGTACATGACGGCATTGCTGCGGCTCGACTGAATTTGCTAAAAACAAGGCGCCCGGTTGCCTCGTTCGTCGCTTCCACTCCATTGACATAAAGCCCATTCTTTAACCTGTCCGCCCACAAGCTTGCCTCGTCAACCTCACACAAGCTTCTTCTGCCCGTTTCGCGCAAGCCTTGCCATCTTCGACATCAGCAAGCTTCCACAGCTGTCGTCACATCGCCCACTCGCATCTTCAGGTCACTATCAACAACAATACTACTTATTATCGCCATCCAGTGCGCCAACAAGTCCAATAGCTTGAATGCCCGAACCGGAGGCCACCCCCGAGTTCCAGGCTACTGCCGCCGACCTCTCGCCCTACTGTCCATCTCCCCTCCACTCCGCCGCTCCAGCCGTTGTACCTGCTCTCCAGGATACTGCTGATATCCTTGATGCAATGACCGCCCACACTAATGGAGTCGCTCAAGGCGACCTAGAAGCACCTACACATGCACCAATTTCGACCGAGTCGTATGCGCAAGCTGCCGCGGACAACGCAGACGCCGAAGACGACGTCGACAGTCTGGACGATGCCTACGGCGAGGAAGAGGAGACACACACGGACAAGGTTCAGGAACAGCAGGTGGAGCCAGATGCCGGCGAGGATGATTATCTCAAGATCTTCGACTCTCCTCCTCGGGACGCGGATCAAGATGGCGCGGAAGAGGATGATGTATCAAAGGCACCAGAATCCATTCACAATTCCGCCGCTCCTGATTCTTTGACAAGCCCTTCGCAAGTGGCCCCCTCCACCGTCGCTGCCGCTGATTCCTCGTCGGCCACTGCTACTGCTGCAGAACACTCAGCCAAATCCGCGCCTTCCCAACCAGCTGCCGCCCACCAAGGAGCTGATTCAAGCGCGCCTCATTCGACTGCCAACGGCGCCTCCTTCAACGCACGCAATGACAATGCTCCCGAGGATGACCCCGCCGTTGATATCTCTCGCCTTGTTGCTGAGATGACAGGCCAGGCGAGCGAGTCCAGCAACAACCAATCTCCCACTGGCTCTACTCAGAACCATGATGCTCAGCCATCGTCCAACTTGACCTCGTCTGCGTCTGCCACTCTTCCTCCCAGACCTCCGTTGCCTCAACAGGCGGCTCCCACATATCCATCTGAAGACTATCGAGGCTTCCCTCCTCAGACCGCTGCTTCTCATGTCTCTTCCAACATGATTGCTCCGCCCACGTCAGGTCAACCATCTGCTTACGTAGCTACGGGTGCTCCCGGTGCCCCTAGTACCGCATCCGACGTCTATGGCAGCCTCCCACCTCCACCCGCCAACGGTTTGAACACGGCCATGCCCATCACTTCAATGAACGCGCCTCCCTATCCCATCCCTGGCGGCTACCCGGCCGGCCCGACGGACGATACTGCTGACCGCCAGAAGCTTTGGGACACTTTCGTAAACGACGAGCGCCGTTACATGGCTGATGCCAAATGGGATAAATTCCCCGATGGCTCACGCATCTTCATTGGTTCGCGCTCTCTCTCATCAGGCAGACCCGACGGCGCCATTGACTTCTTTTCAGGCAACCTGTCGAGCGAACGCGTTTCCAAGCGGGATGTCTTTGATATCTTCCACAGATACGGCCGTCTCGCCCAGATCTCACTCAAGTCCGCCTATGGCTTCGTCCAATATCACAACCTCGAAGATGCCCAAGCTGCCATGGACAACCTGCAGGGCAGCGAAATCAAGGGTCGCAAGATTCGTAAGTAGTCTTTAACAACATGCACAGAGAGGGCCTTGCTCACTTTTACTAGATCTGGAAATCTCACGCGCCCAAAAGAAAAAGGACGGCAACGAGAGGAACCGCTCGCCAGACCGTGGCGGTCGTGGAGGCCGACAGTCAGGACGTCAAGATCGTCATGACGGAGCCAACTCACACCATGACAACCGTCGTAACCGCGATGATTACAGGCCGGGACGTAACAGCCCTCCCCGACGTGGCCATGGCCGTGAGGATAGTCACGGTCGGGATCGTTACCAGCAGGACTCTCATGACCACTCCCGCGGTCGTTCGCGGTCCCCGCAGGGATATGGCCGCCACAACGATGGATACCGCCGGCGTAGCCCCAGCCCACCTGCGGCTTATGGTCGTCCTTCTGCAGCCGACGACCGCCTCGACATTCCTCGCCGCTACGGCAATCAGGTTCCTGACGTTCAATTCTTGCTCCTCCAGGATCTTAGCCGCGACTTCATAACCTGGGTTCAGCGCGGTTTCACCGATCGCGGCCTGAAGGTTGACGTCATGTTCCTCCACCCAAGTTTCCCTCGTGAGGCTATTGTCCAACGCCAAGTCATCGAAGGCGTACACGCCATTGTCGATCTCGACATACAGGCACAGAACATGGGTAAGATCCCGCTCCGAGTCTTTGACCGCTCCGGAGGCGTCAGTGCCCGATACGACGATTACCGAGACATTGATCCGCCGATCGCGGCAGAGCTCGTCCTCCGGGCCAAGTCACAAGCTGTGCCGGCGGCACCTTATCAGAGTGCCCCGCCTCCCCAGCCTCAGTACCCGGGCTACGGACAGCCTTATGGAGGGCAGCCCGTACATCCTCAGGCACCTGCTTATCACGGAGGCCAGGGGCCGCCACGTGGGCCTCCTGTCCAACAACCTCAACCACCAGCGGGAGTGCCAGCCGACCTCGCCAGCATGATGAGTGGTATTGATAATGCGACCTTGCAACGGTTGCTGGTTAGTTTGAACCCACAGGGTGGACCGGCGGCTGTCAACAATGCTGCCGGAGCTGCAAACGCCCAGCTGCAAGCCCTTATGGGTGGTCTTCAGCAAGCGCCGCCTGCGGCACCAACGCAGCCTGCCTCGTATGGCGGACAGGCCTTTGCTCCGCATGGCGCCCCACCTCCGAATGGCCCGAACGGCCACCCTCCTGCAACTGGCACCGGTGATTCCGCAGTGCAGGTTCAGAATATTATGGCACAGCTTGCCAGATATCGGCAGTAAGGTGTGCGATATGGGAGCTCATTTCACTGGCGCTTGATGAAGATATGATGTGGAAGGGGCTTGCTTATTTGTTACCCGGCGTTAGGGGCATGCAGTCCCATGAGGAGGCTGCTCAAAAGGGTGGGAAAACTGTGCTTTTCTTATAGATTTGCAGAAGCCATGCCCAACAGGGCGGGTTGCTGTAACCCAGGCGTTCACTATTACATAAATACAGTAGTTCAAAATAGGTTTGTTTCTTCAAAGTTGAAACGACAGTTTTAAAGTCCAAAATGCGAGGAATCTACAGCTTCTGAGAGGGCTTGTTCAGGAAAGCCGTGCACTCAATCTCGACATCGGTGCCCAGCGGTAGCTGGTATACTGCAACACACGTGCGGGCCTTTTCATTTATAGTGTCAGCACGCATTCTCTCGTTTCCTTGATCGTCACGACCTGCCAGGAACGACGAGCAAAGTCAGTTCTAGACATGAATGAGAGAGAAACTCACAGGCTTGGGATCAAATGTGAAGAACTCGTCATACGCCTCGTTCATGGTGGCGAAATCGGACATCTGCGTAATGTAGACGTTGACCTTGACGACGTTGCGGAGGGAACTTCCCGAAGCCTCGAGGACGGCGGTCAGGTTCTTGAGGGCCTGGCGGGTGCGGTCTTTGACTGTGCCCTCGGCCTGGACCATGCCTGGCTTGTCGGGGAGGATGCCGATGTTGCCGGAGCAGTAGACCATGCCGTTGTATTTCACGGCTTGGGAGAATTGGGGGAGGGGCGCTGGGGCGGCGGTTGTGAGGACTTTTTCGATTTGGTCGGACATTTTGGTGGTGTTGGTTGTGGTGGTGATATATAAGGTGGGTGGTAACTTATGAGGGCGATATTTAGGGAGGAAGATGGAAATCTGGAGTTATTGGAGTTTCAGTGATTTGAAGATGGGGGTAATTAAAATGTCAACGGAGCCGTGAGCTGAATCAATCGGTATAAGATAGATTTAGGTGAGGTGGTGAAGATGATTAATCCAATCGTCAAACGGTAGGAGATTACACCGGCGCGGGGTCGGAGATGGGAAGTGGATCCTTCGTCACCGGCGGGTTGGTGGGGTTTTGATAGCGGGCATGTACAGATAGGGCGCGCAGAAAACGGAAGGGCGCGGATGATGGATCTCTTTTGTGCTTTTGCATGCATGGAATACTCAGTGGATGAGGCTCTTTTTGACTCTTAGGGAGCTTTTGCCGAGAGGCTAATGAACGTTACTTGGGCCCTTGGGTATCTGAACTGGAACAAGTTGATTGCATCATGCGTGGGATTTGGATCGGGTCTGGGGAAAGTTAGTTTCGCCTTGTCGCCTTGTATTCGTTGGCGAGTCCGGCGTTTGCATTTCATGATTGAGATCTGTACTTGGTTCGTGTGATGTTTTTGTCCTGCAGCTATAGACGATTCCATAAACACTTGCTGATTACAAAGTCTTAGGATGCGAGTGTATCCTAAGCTCGAGTCTGCCGATAGAAAGCGCCTGGCCCACTTTGGCGGGGTTGACGGAGGACTTCGCCGCGGGACGGTGATGGCGGGGTAATTTTGGCCGGCCGAAGCCGGCGCAGTCCTCCGGGGAGGGTGAGACGTCGGTCTCGCGACGTCTTTTAAGCACTCAGATGAGAGCCGCGAATGGCTGCAGAGACGTAGAAAAGCTACTCAAATTGGAATCTGTATCCTAACGCCTTGTGTGATAATAACACTTAAGTAAACACTGCGTGCCCAACCCAAGACACAAGAAATACCACCATCAGAGCCTGAAGGAAATCCGGAGTCGCGCTGGACGTCATACAAGCATGTCAATCCTCATGAAGTCAGTGCCCTTTCTCTTCATGGCTTCCCTTAGAAGTTCTGTAATAGCACCTTCACCCTGCCGAGCAGCCATGTCCAGTAAACTTTCACCTTCTGGGCCTGGTGCCGTGACATCAGCACCTCCATCGAGAAGAGACTGAAGTGCAGCTAATCCGTGTTTCAGGATACTCTCATATTTCAGATAAATCCGCGGCGTGGAATTTACATTAAGAATGATCTCGGATAAGGGCGTGTGTCCTTGGTTGTCCCTCGCGTTGGGGTTGGCCCCATGTCGAAGCAGAAACTTGACGACTAGAGGATTCAATCCCTCAGCAGCAGCATTCATAAGGGGGGTTCGTCCCTCGTAGTCCCGGCCGTCAATTTCAAGACCCTTCTCAATGGCCTCCTGCACATCGTCAAGATATTCAGAGCTGACATCGGATCTCTTACATGCCTTATGAAGAAAGTTCTGGCCCAGATTATCTTGATGAGTTGGATCCAGATCTGCATTTAAGAGGTCCCCCAGAACTTTACCGTAGGCCACGAAGAGAGCGGTCTGTCCGAGCTTGTTCACCATGTGCCTCAAATATGAAGGCCCACCATCGGATTGTTGTTGTGACGCTTTATGAGAGGACATGGATCCAGCATTGGTACTGTGGTGTGTGGGAATGCTGTGGCTCAATAGTAGTCTCACAATGTCATCTTTGCCATATGATGCAGCAATGAACAACGGAGTATACCCCGCGTCGTTTTGCGCATAAACATTCGCACCTTCTGCAAGTAGAAGCGCTACCATTTCTGGTTTACCATCCCATTCGCAAGCGGTGTGGATAGGTGTCCTCCCAGTTGCGTCTCGAGCTTCCAAATTACACCCTTTTTGAATTAATAGTCGAATGATCGCTTCATGTGCAGCTGCAATTGCCTCATGAATTGGATTCTTCCCGTACATGCTACCTCCTTTGTTGATATCTGCTCCACTCTCAAGAAGGAACTCGATGGAAGATCTTTGACCCCTTGCGACTGCCGCTACTAGAGGTGTGGAGTTGGGCTCATACCCGTTCTCGATGCTGACACCAGTGTCAAGAATGATCCTCGCAGTGCCTACATTTCCAGTTTCAACCGCCCTGAGGAGGGCTTTTCTGATGTCTTCATATCCGTCCACCGATAATGGCGATTGTAGAGTCGTGTTGGTAGTGACTTTAGCTAGAAGTGCGGACCGCTGCTCAAGAATGAACCGCACAAGTACTTCTTGTCCCTTTTCGGCAGCGCGAACCAGAGGGCTATAAGATAGGTCTTTTGGTATAAGGTCAGGTTGCGCGCCCAAATCGAATAGCATTCTGGCGATGTCGATTTGCCCTCTCTCTGCAGCAAAGTAGAGGGGCGTGCGTCCTTCTTTGTCGGTGCAGTCGATGCTAGGGTGGACTTGGCTGCTCGTCTCGGATTCCGGGGTGTTGTATGATGTAGACGCAATTTTTCTCGCAGAGCTTGTGATCCATTGCAGCAACAATCTTGCTACATCTTCGTGGCCCTCTTTCAGAGCTGCAAGAAGTGGGTAGCCATGTCTGCCTCCGTGTATCTCAGCGTTCGGGTTGTGGTGAAGCGCTGTCTGGACCAGTTTCGTAAATCCTCTCTCCGCAAGGATATATAAGAGGTTTGTAGCATCACGCTTCTGCCTTCTAGTTTTATGTTTCTCAAAGATATTGTTTCTCTGGATCCATTGTTCTAAGGGAAACTGTTGAAGAAACTCGGTCTGTAGGACGGTCCGGGCAGCGGCATTGGCGTGGTAGAGTACTTGGCTGGTTGCATACTTTAGGAAGGGGAAGCCATGGTCGATGGCGGCTTGGAAATCGATAGATTCCTTTTTGGATGTACGGAATAAAAAGTCGTCATCGTGCAAGTGTTTAGAAATGTTGACTTGAGTCGAGTATTCATGGCAGCAGTCCCGTAAACGATTGTGGCTTTGGGCCTCGAAATCAGTACCCATCTCTGGCCAGAGAGTACGCAACCCGTTGTCCTTGATAAGAAAGTCACGTACTGATTCATGAATGAATTGAACAGTCTTATCATCGGATCTCGTTGTTTCGGCTAGTCCTTTAGATGAACTGACAATCAGACGATCCATGAATTCAAACGGGATCTCATTGGGATCCCACTCTCCCAGCGTGTCGGGCTCCAAGCCGGAGGCCAAGGCGAAATAGTATTCTTCGCGTTTTAGAGGTCGTGCGCTGTAGAGAACCCACTGGATGCATAGAAGCAGATCGTCAAGGTTCTCTTGGTCTCTTGTTAATATATTCTGGAAGAGCTCGCTCAATTCGGATGGAATTTCTTTCAAGCGACTTTTGACTGCGAATAAGCGACCCTTACGGTACTCCTTGTTAAGAATATCGACCACAAGTACGACCCACATAAAAACTCCAGAAGCTTTTCGTAAGATTTCGGCGATGACCTCGTCACTCTTGGGCCCAGTACCGGCCTTGAGACTAGTACGGACGTACTCTGCGAGATCTCTCTCGTGACCGATCTGGTCCTCCAGAATGAGCTTTTGACCGTATTGTATATCGATATAAGGGTAGTGCCGACTGGAGAAGCAAACGTAGAATCGGAGATCGTTCTGAACCGCATATTGTCCTAGGTCTTCAAAGACCTCGACCATCTCTCGGACCTCACTTTCGGCGCATTCATCAAGGGCGTCAATGAAACAAGTAAGTTGCCGTTTCCCGAGTTTCCGGACGGCGTTGCGGAAGAGGGTCTTGGTCTTCTCTAAGTCCCAGACTACGAACTCTTGTGTGCCGTCATTGATGTCGAGTAAAACTTGTAGATCGGGCATTTTCTCCAAAAGCTGATGTAAGAGTGACCGATACATTCCCAGCGTCGACTTCTCGAGCCCCTCGCCTCTTGCGTTGAAAAAGAATGAAATGGAAGGCCCAATCGACGCGGCTCTCCTTCTCGCTCGGCTGAAGGCGAATTTCATGATCGTTGACTTTCCTGCCCCAGGTTTCCCCCTGATCCAGAGAAAACCGTGATGCTGAGAGTACATCTTACGATCTATCCAGGTGACATAATCAGGATGCTGGAGAAGCCATTCGCAGGTTTTGGCATGGTTGGTCTTGATATTGGCGTGCCTCTTATCAATTTGATCAAACTTGAGCGAGTCTAGAAGCGCCTTGCGATCTGTTGATGGTGTTGCTATAGTAAATCGTTAGCAGATTCTCCGCGAGAGGGTCTACATTATCACTTACCGATGTCCCGCACTTCAGGCTGCCTTTGAAAACTAGAGCTTCCTTGAGGCGGGATAATGGAGAGAAGCTCCTTCGCATAGGCCGCTGCGGTTGCAGCGGCATATTTCTGCCATCGCTTTGCTTTGTGGGAGTCCGAGTAATCACAGATACCACGGATAACGAGGCATGGAAAATTGTCCATCAGCCCTGCAGCTTCCATCTCAAAACATATCAATCCAAGTTCTTTCGCCAGTCGGTCCCTCGTTTTCGCATGTTTCATGACCTGATTTCCAGACGCAATGATTCCATAATGAATGCTGGGGTTGTTTGTCGGTCGTAGACCGCGTGGTACCAGCCTGGATCTATCGCAGTCTTCACAGGTTTCCCCAGAATGTTCGTATGAGGCCTCGAAGAGTCTGTCTTCATCTACATTTCGATGCGAGAACTCAACCATATAGGGATGATGCAATTCCATGCGGGCCAAGATTTCCGGAACTCGACTCGGTTGGAATTCGTGGTCAGCTCGTAAGCTGGAGACAGCCGCAAGAACCGGTGGTGGAGGTTTGTTCAGATTCCCGATACGTTCGAACCGACCATCGTTCAGAGCTTTTCCAAAGTCATACTGTACGACGCCTGGAGAATCTGCTGTCGGATTGCTGACCACGACGTCGCCAAGCCGTACGTCGATCTTTCCAGGGACACCACCACCTATTCCAACCATCAAGCCGATTTGTATTGACGGAAAGCTCCATCGCATGTTGTTTGCTACTACGGCCGCGCTGTTTGTGCCATACTGTCCTGAAGGTAAGCATGCAATGACGATATTGTGCGGGCCGATGTTGCCGAAGGTGTACACATTGCTGTCGTTTGGGTTCATATTGAGTGGTTGGTGTTCATTGTCAAGCATCGCTCGGGCTGCAGCCATCTCAAGAGGAAGCGCACAAACCCAGCCCACGGTGTATGCCTCATGTGATAACTTGACCAAGGTCTGCCCCGCGCTGTTCGGCATGCGAAGCGATCCCGTTGTTCTTGCCCGCTTTGTAAGCCCGTCACAACTCTCTTCTTCACTACTGACGCTCCGTTCCCGTTTCTCTGTGGCATATCTAGGAGCGCTCGTGGGCTGCCAACCGGTAGTTCTTTGTTGATGGTGAGCGTGATCGCTGAACATTTTGATCAGGCTCCGGGAATCGAGGGGTTTCGGCCGATGTCGTCTTCCTAATTTGCGATTGTCAGTTGCCGTGAAAGCAGGTGTGTGATAAATGAGCTTGTACTTACCCGGTATGGCGATTGCGATGTGGCCGAAATCGCAGTGAGGGTAATTTCAAATCAAGTTCAAGCCAGGCAAGAGAAATTGACGAAGAAGAAGGCTTTGCGGAAGGCAACTTGGGGCAGACGAGTTTTGCCTGCCACTGCGGAAATATCTACCTGAGTCGAAGGCGTCCATCAGGCTGCGCCAACACAGCCCGTGTCGCCGCAGCAGTTTTCGGCTCCTTGCAGCGTCCAGTAGCATTTCGATCACAAGGTCCCTGCTGCATGGCCAAAAAGTGTCCAATCGGATAAACGACTGTGGTGGAAATTGCACATTGTTGGAAGATGCTAACGGAGTTCGATAACCTGTCACATTCAATATCTGCGGCACCAGGTATGAGTCTGCCTGACCACGAGTGCGGCACAGCGTGCTACGCCATTATCTCCATGACTTTGCCTGCGCCTGGTGCCGCAACCCCGCATCAGCTTTACCATCCCCAAACTCGATATCGTTGCATACAAATGCTCTCTGGGAATCTGCCCGTCGAAGTAAGTCGAAACTACCTGAGGGGCTCATAGAATGTCGGCAATACCACAGCAGAGCCGTTACGAGGGTTATTGGAATTGCTACAACCCAGTAGACCCAGAACTTTCCAGAGACGTTCCACGAGTCTGAGGCCGAGTCGTAGTCAAAAAATGAAGTGCTGAAGACGGCTGAAACGAAAGTCGCCGGCAGGAAAAGTAGAGTGAGAAAAGCCACGGTTTTCATGGCCTCGCTGTCCCTCTGCGTCGCGCGACCGATGGCTACAGAAATCCGGGCGTCGGACTGAGCAACCATGTTGTATGCGAGCGAGATCTCGTTGAAGTGTCGAGCCTTATTGGAAGCCGAGCGCTCTTGAAGGCTCGTGATCATCTCTTCGAAGAACTGCAACCGCTGATGCGTGTAATTCCAAGCCCGTTTCCATGCGGTGGCAGACCTGGAATCATCATCATGGCCAACTTTGAATGCCTCGTGTTGCAGTAGAATTTTCCTAGCAGCCTTGACGGCCAAATCCAATGTTTCGGAAACGTGTATAGCATGTCGTGCCGTTTCGTGTAAATGACGAAAGCCCGGTGCAGGTTTTGACGTGGCCAAGTCGGAGCCGTGGGTTATATCCCTTTGCTTCTCTGTGGTCCGGACTGTAACACGAACAGCCCATACAGCGGCATCTTGCAAAGTGACGACCTTCTCCAAGATTCCGATGTATATCCAGTAAGGGTCGAGGAAGTAGTCCGCGTTTGGAACGGCGTAAATGGGGTCGGATTCATCTTCCGGGACCCTCTCCATACAATTCGCCGCTGGCTGGACGGCGTCGAAGACGATGAGGACTGTTTGACGAGTCTTCGCCACCCAGTGCGTAATCACATTGGTTTTTGACCATTCATATCCTGTATGTCCTTCGTTCGTGAGCTTCACTGGGAATCGCGCCCATGTAGCTATTCTCCCGTCAGTCAGCGTCCTTGGCCCCAATCATCATAACTCACTCAGTCCTGCAGTATTTCCGTCCTCATCAATCTTTGTCTCGCATCCAAAGTAGCCGTTGGAATCTCTGCAGTATCGTTTCCACCAGAGATCTGGGATCATGAAGGCTTCAGCAAACTTCTCACGGCATGCTGAACATTCGCGTATTTTCTGCGCAAAAGCATTCCTATCCACTTGTCAGCATTGAGCCGTCACCCAAGCTCTACTAAGCTTACACGATGCAGACATCGAAATCTTCCTCATCTGCTAGAAAGGATGCTGATCCCTTCTCAATGATCGTTGTAGTTGATCTCCAGTTTTGATCGCCTATTCCTGTCAGTATGGCCAGCAGCATAAGAGGAAGCATTTCAACCTCACCTTTCTTCCAGTACAACACTTCTAGTTGTTGGCAAGCGCACGTGGGGTCCATTTTGACTCATGACATTGTAATTGGTGAAACTTATGTTACAAAGCGGAGTGCGAAGTGTGAGCCCTCTTATAAGACTAGATTAAAGGACTCAGCTGTGAAAATTGCTCAAGAATCGTTGTGTTGTACAGCAGGCTCTGAACGGGAGCCGCAAACCCCGCTCTAAGCGCCGATGCAGGCTGCATGACAGGGCCTCTCGATACCCTGAGTTAACCAACCAGCCATTTGAGGCAGATCTGCTGCTGGAGGTAGGCGTGGTCTTGATAACTGTCCCAATCAAAGATGACTTCCCAACATATGAGCTTTGCGAGTTGTGTAATATGACACCGAAATTCATGGCTCAGCCACCAGCCTTGCCGTCGCGAAGTGGAATGACTGGAGGAAGCCTGGAGCTAAACATTGCGGCCCGAATGCTGCGGTTCTTTGGCCCGTCCGTTGTGAATGTAACAGCTTCATAAGGTGACATGCAGAAGAGAGCAGTCGGCAACAATTGCAATGTCTTCTTTATGGATCGAAGTGCAAGAGCGACGATGCTGGAGCCAGTGGAATGGAAGGGTCTTTCGGTAGGGTCCTTCCCGCCCGCCCACGAACAGCTGGGATGTTCGCTGAAATGTCACCGACGCCTGCTTGGCAATGGGGAGCACTTGCCTCCACCAGAAACGGGAACATTTGGGGGAAAGCTCAGGGGTCACCTCCTTAGCTTCTTCCTTCTGACCAATCATGATGTGGCTTACCAAGCAAATCATCGCAGCTGGTCGATACACCTATTGGAAAACGAGCCTAAGCCAACCTAAAACCGCCTCGACTGCGAGGTGAGACTTTGGACGAAGATGCCAGCTGTAAGGTGTTCGTTTTGCCGTGTGTAGTCGGTTGCTCAGGCACGCTTCTCGATATATGACAAGTGACGGGAACCTTCACCAATTCCTGCTGCAACTCCATTTCGTCTTCATTTGTGTAATTACCCGCTCGGTCCGAGCTTGCGGATTATCACAACCTTTTTCTTCCTGTCTTGCCTTTTGTATTTCTCATGTGGCACTGAGCTCCATTGTGCTTCCTTCTTGTCCAACTCTGCCTCGCCATTACCCGCGTCACCCGTGAAAGGTTGATCATCATGAGTTGGCCCTACCGCTTCGTCGACCTGTCCAAGGAAGAGGTCCAGATCCGGAGACAGACCCTGGATCGTTATGGCAGCTATGCCCAGTACTCGGCACTGACGCCAATCATCATTGCTTTGCTATTCCGGCTCGGGGCGTATCTCAGTCAACGCTGGCAGTCGGGAGCTTCCTACTCTGCTGTCCCGGGCTCTCCTGAGCTGAAGACAAAGAGACAGAGCTGGAGCCACAGCTGGGATGCCATAATCAAGAAGTGGAAGTGGTGGCTGGCCGACGATGTCTACTTCATGGGGCAGCATTGGGGCCAAAAGGACCAATGGGTTTTTGGTTTGGCCTGGGCGTCATGGCTGCTGGTTCTGAGCGTGTTGGAGACGGGCGATGGTGAGTTGTGAATCCCCTCAATTGGATGTCAAACGTGATGAAACTCCAACCTCGACCCTGCAACCAATCCCCAAGAGACTCAAGTGAGCCTCGAGAAATTTATGACTCCATGCTCAAAAGAACTGCCATTCAGATTGAACAAAATCAAGACATATTTCTGACTAGCTGTAGATTACCTCCATCTCACCAAACGCTTTGGCATCATCGCAGTCTCCCAGATCCCCTTTCAGTACCTGCTGGCATTGAAGAGCTTCAGCCCCATCGCCAAGGCTTTCCGCACATCTCACGAGGAGCTAAACAAATGGCACCGCGTTCTCTCCCGTGTGACGCTATCCCTTCTTGTCCTCCACGCCGTATTCTACCTGAACTTCTTCGTGGCCAAAGGCATCGTTCAGAAGCGCCTCTTTGCACCCGTTGTCTTCGCCGGTGTCGTTGCGTTCGCAACCATGAACATGATGACTTCAACAGCGGCTGCCACCGTTCGAAGGTACTCGTACCGCGTCTTCTTTATCACCCATCTTATCGGCGCCTTTGCAATTCCGGTCCTGGTCTTCTTCCACGCCAAGTCGGCTCGCCTGTTTATGGTCAAGGCTATCATCGTCTTCCTCATCGACCTTACCGTCCGTCGTCTCCGGACTGTAATGGCTCTCTCAAAGGTTGAGACCATCCCTGGCACGAATCTGATCAAAATATCCGCCTCAATCCCTCAGCACAAGATCAATGCTTTCCATACTCGCCCAGGTTCCCACATCTACCTCAGCGTACCCGCCGCGGCACGACCTGGAGCTGGCCCAACATCCCCTGATGCAATGCTCTTTGAATTTCTCTTCAATCCCTTCACCGTTGCATCCGTCGACGAGGATAACGGCAGCCTCACTCTGGTAGCTCGGCAACTTGATGGCCCGCTCACACGACATCTCGGCCGCTTCGCAAACGCGGGCACCGGCATCGAAGACGGCAAGGTCCCGCTCTGCATCGAGGGCCCGTACGGTGCCGCATCCCTCCACTTTGACAAACTCACCGGCTCCTCAGTCGACCGCTTCCTGTTGGTTGCCGGCGGCGTGGGCGCAACCTTTACCGTACCAATTTACCACGCCATCCTTCAAGACAACCCCAGCGCCAAGGTCGAACTGGTCTGGTCCATCCGCGGCGCCAGCGACACAGCCTGGGCTACGGCCGCCGAAAAGTCCATCTCCAAGAGCATCATCGACGACCCCAACGTCCGCGTCTTCCTCACAGGCGACGCCCTCGACTCGGACTCTACTGGTCCCATGGCCGGGCTTCCCTCCGAGACGAACGCCGAGGGCGAGATGGAGATGAGCTCGCTGCAACGTGACCGGAGGCGGAACCGCCTCACCAGCGAGAGCAGCCGCAAGCGTCCGGACTTACGCAAGATCGTTGACGAGTTCTTCAGGCAGGGGGCCGAGGAGAGGGTCGCGGTACTTGTGTGCGGGCCGGCGGAGATGGGACGGGAGGTGCGGGAGTATGTCGGCGCGTGG